AAATGAAAGTCAAATGCATTCAAACAAAGCTAATTGAATCAAATGAAAGTCAAACACATTCAAACAAAGCTAATTGAATCAAATGAAAGTCAAACACATTCAAACAAGCTTTATGACTCAAATGCAAGCCAAATGCATTCAATTATGCTAATTGAATCAAATGAAAGTCAAACACATTCAAACAAAGCTAATTAAATTAAATGGAAGTCAAACTCATTCAAACAAAGCTTTTTGAGTTATATTGAAGTCTAATACATTTAACCAAGCTAATTGAATCAAATGAGGGTCAAATGCATTCTACAAAGCTAATTGAATCAAATGAAAATCAAACACATCAAAATAAACCTAATTGAATCAAATGAAAGTCAAACACATTCAAACAAACCTAATTGAATCAAATGAAAGTCAAACACATTAAAACAAAGTTTCTGAGTCAAATTAAAGTCAAATGCATTAACAAAGCTAATTGAATCAAACGAAAGTCAAATCCATTCTACAAAGCTAATAGAATCAAATGAAAGTTAAACCCATTCTAACAAAGCTAATTGAATCCAATGAAAGTCAAACACATTCAAATAAAGCTTTTTAAATCAAATTAAATTCTAATGCATTCAACAAAGCTAAATGAATCAAGTGAAATTCAAATGCATTCTACAAAGCTAATTGAATCAACTGAATGTTAAACACATTCAAACATAGCTAATTTAATCCAATGAAAGCCAAACACAATCAAATAAATCTTTTTGAATCAAGTTAAAGTCTAATGCATTCAACAAAGCTAATTGAATCAAATGAAAGTCAAACCCATTTAAACAAAGCTTTTGGAATAATATGAATGTCAAATGCATTCTACAAAGCTAATTGAATCCAATGAAAGTCTAATGCATTCAATAAAGCTAATTGAACCAAATAAGTCAAACACATTCAAACAAAGCTAATTGAATCAAATGAAAGTCAAACACATTTAAACAAAGCTTTTTGGATCAAATTTAAGTTAAACACATTCAAACAAAGCTAATTAAATCAAATGAAAGTCAAACACATTCAAATAATCTTTATGACTAAAATGCAAGCTAAATGCATTCAATTATGCTAATTGAATCAAATGAAAGTCAAACACATTCAAACAAAGCTTTTTAAATAAAATGAAAGTCAAATGCATTCAAACAAAGCTAATTGAATCAAATGAAAGTCAAACACATTCAAACAAAGCTAATTGAATCAAATGAAAGTCAAACACATTCAAACAAGCTTTATGACTCAAATGCAAGCCAAATGCATTCAATTATGCTAATTGAATCAAATGAAAGTCAAACACATTCAAACAAAGCTAATTAAATTAAATGGAAGTCAAACTCATTCAAACAAAGCTTTTTGAGTTATATTGAAGTCTAATACATTTAACCAAGCTAATTGAATCAAATGAGGGTCAAATGCATTCTACAAAGCTAATTGAATCAAATGAAAATCAAACACATCAAAACAAACCTAATTGAATCAAATGAAAGTCAAACACATTCAAACAAACCTAATTGAATCAAATGAAAGTCAAACACATTAAAACAAAGTTTCTGAGTCAAATTAAAGTCAAATGCATTAACAAAGCTAATTGAATCAAACGAAAGTCAAATCCATTCTACAAAGCTAATAGAATCAAATGAAAGTTAAACACATTCTAACAAAGCTAATTGAATCCAATGAAAGTCAAACACATTCAAATAAAGCTTTTTAAATCAAATTAAATTCTAATGCATTCAACAAAGCTAAATGAATCAAGTGAAATTCAAATGCATTCTACAAAGCTAATTGAATCAACTGAATGTTAAACACATTCAAACATAGCTAATTTAATCCAATGAAAGCCAAACACAATCAAATAAATCTTTTTGAATCAAGTTAAAGTCTAATGCATTCAACAAAGCTAATTGAATCAAATGAAAGTCAAACCCATTTAAACAAAGCTTTTGGAATAATATGAATGTCAAATGCATTCTACAAAGCTAATTGAATCCAATGAAAGTCTAATGCATTCAATAAAGCTAATTGAACCAAATAAGTCAAACACATTCAAACAAAGCTAATTGAATCAAATGAAAGTCAAACACATTTAAACAAAGCTTTTTGGATCAAATTTAAGTTAAACACATTCAAACAAAGCTAATTAAATCAAATGAAAGTCAAACACATTCAAATAATCTTTATGACTAAAATGCAAGCCAAATGCATTCAATTATGCTAATTGAATCAAATGAAAGTCAAACACATTCAAACAAAGCTTTTTAAATAAAATGAAAGTCAAATGCATTCAAACAAAGCTAATTGAATCAAATGAAAGTCAAACACATTCAAACAAAGCTAATTGAATCAAATGAAAGTCAAACACATTCAAACAAGCTTTATGACTCAAATGCAAGCCAAATGCATTCAATTATGCTAATTGAATCAAATGAAAGTCAAACACATTCAAACAAAGCTAATTAAATTAAATGGAAGTCAAACTCATTCAAACAAAGCTTTTTGAGTTATATTGAAGTCTAATACATTTAACCAAGCTAATTGAATCAAATGAGGGTCAAATGCATTCTACAAAGCTGGTGTGCCTCAGTCGTATGCAACCAAAAATATCACAACTAAGCTAACTGCAAATAAACGTAGTTAGGGAAGTCGAGTTCGAATCCACAGGGAAAAAGGGACTAATAACTGGAAACCTAAGTGGAAATACTCTAGGACGGTAGTAACCTAAGTAACGAGGGGGGTTTTCACGAGCAATGATGATAAATGAACTAAGTAAGAACAACGAACGTAATGAATAGGTAATCAATGAGAAGAACGGTCTTGGTTATGCGAAATCCACTAATGAACATACAAATTGATCATAGAAGTCTCCTCAATCAAGCTCTATTGAACACCTTGTTGTAGAATTCCTAGATTCTAAATTCTCATAAATAGTTAGAAATAGCAAAGCGCTCCTTTCTAACCCTTTCCAATGCACAATTCAAGACAAGCGCTCTAAATTATCCACAAGAAGAAAATAAACGGAGAAATCAACAAGGATTGAATAAATTAACACAAGCGGTCTAATTTCTTCAATAATATTATTCCCTCTTCAAGTTATCAACCAAAAGCATGCATCAATAACCTAAAGTTGCTACTTTGGAAAGATTAATTAGATGCAAGCGAATCCAATAATTCTAACCTAGCAATTGATTAAAGCAAATCATGAAATTAATTCAAGGAACAATATATATTCAATAGATATTAAGAGAAGAAAGATCTCACAATTCGTAGCTAAAAGCTTCAATCTTTAACCAAGAATCCGGAAGATTAAGCTTCCATGGATTCTAATTCCAAAACAAAGAATTCTGAAAATTCCAAGAAAACCCTAGAAAGCTTTTTTTTCTCAAAACTTCATTCTCCTCTCCTCCCCTCTAAACTTAATTAAAACTAAGCTATTTATATGTTTCTATATTTTAATAACATAACACAATAATAATAATAAAATAATATCCAAACACGTGCCAAAACAAAGCCAAAATTGCTGAAAAAGAAGCCAAAAATTGCGCAAAAAACTGAGATTGCCGCTGCCAGCTGCTCTGGACCCGCTGGCAGCGGCTCTGGCAGCCTTGGAAGCCTTCGTATGCTGGAATAGCAGCTGCCAGCGGCTCTGGCCAGCTGCCAGCTGCCCTGGCAGCAATTCACTACTGTTTTTTCCTTCTTCCTTGCTTTGAACCTTCTTCTAGCTTCTTCAAACTTGCTTTCTTGCCTCCTTGTGAATCAACAAGCCATGCTTCATACACTCTCAAATCATCATCCAAGGTCCGCCTACTCATAGTACTCTTCACTTCATTCCCGAGCTCAACTCACTCACTTTCACTCATAATTTCCCTCTTTTGCACATAAATGGGACGATGAGTCAAAACTCACAAAAGCTAACAAAAGTACATATAAAGCATCAAAACACACCCTAAAATGCTTCTCTCAACCCATGATAAGAAGGCTTATCAAATTCCCCCATGCTTGAACCTTTACTCGCCCTCGAGTAAACTTAGAGAATAAAAAACATCCTCCTCACTAAGGTTCAAAACAGAAGATGGTGGAATCAAACTAGCTCTACGCACTCAAACTCAACAAAACATCCTAGTACTTATCAACCAATCACAATCACACTCCCCCATACTTCACACTTTGAATCTCCCTTTTTTCTTATTTATCAATTCATCCCCAAAATCAACTTGGAACGATAAACGCATAGCCATGAGTATGAATATTCTCAACCTCCTAAAGAAATGAAATTTTTGATAAAATTGGGCAAACAAAAACTCAACTTAACCAAAAATCTCATAAAAACACTTCCACATTCAAGAGTGAAAACAAACAACTCATGCTCTCAAATTCCTAAGATGATCAACAAATTCCCCCAAAATCTCAACTATCTCCCAAAATCACCAAGATGAAACCTACCCCAACACCTCCTTATATCTCCTCCCCTTATGACACCGACTCCGGCAAATAGATGCGAAATTTCCTTGAAGAATCAAATTCATGAACATTTCTCTCTTTTTTCTCTCATTTTGCCTAGGAGCCCTTTCGGGTTTTCATCCTAGCCTCTCATCTTTTTCCAAATCTCACTTTCTCACCCACTCATTAGCCACTTTTTTGCTTAGGTCGCCCTTTCGGGTTTTCAACCTAACCGGGCCCCCATTTTTGCCTAAGCCGCCTTTTCAGGTTTTCGACTTAGCGGGTTTCTTTTTCTTTTTTTCCTTCTTTTTTTTTTTTTTTTTTTTTCTTTTCATTTTTCTGTTTTTTTTTTTTCAAGCTTGCTTCATTGAACCACAATTAAGATAGTTATACAAAACATGAAATCAAAATAACTATACAAAATTCAAAGAATATATGCAAGAATTTCTTCCCCCCCCTACTTGAATGAAGCATTGTCCTCGATGCAAGAACAACTACAATGAAACCAAAAATAAGGGAAAAGGAAGAGAATCGTTACCATCTCAATGAGAGGGACCTCCAGAGCCAGAAGAGCCGGCATCGCCCCGAGAAGCACGCCTCTCGGAACGACGCAAAGCACGGGATGCCAAATGATCCATGAACGCCTCAGTTGGAGGCTCATACTGCGGATACTGAGTGGTGTAAAACCGACTCATGCTTCTTTGATATGCAAGCAGCTCCTGCATCCCATCGCACACCTCCTCTAGTCTATCATCCACATCAGCCCTCCATCGAGGCCAATCATCGTGCTGCACTCCAGCAGCATCCTCACCCCCTTCCTCATCAACAAACTCTCCGCCCATATGAACATCGGGATTCTCCTCTCCCATGTTCTCAACTATGATTTCAGCATCTCCCAAATAAGGAGCAACATCCGGGTCGGGCGGAAGGAAAAAGTCTGCAGCAGTAGGGCCAAAAGGTAATGCTCGTCCCTCGGGACGAGGAAGTCTCAAATAGTTCAAACCCTGCGGTCCATATCGCCAGAAATAACTACCGGCGACGGGGGAACGCGATAATAAACCGGTCTTGACCAGAGTCATGATGTTATATGTCAAGTATGTCGAGTCTACTGGCACAAGATCCTCAGGGGGTGGAACATTCAAATAACAGGCTAGCAAAGAGACCATGCCACCCATACTAATATGGCCACTGGAGTTGGACTTCACCTTTACACAACTATCAACAAAAATCTCCACCCAATTGGGCGTACCGACACCTTCAGGGGTCATCGCCCACAAATACGACAATGTGACTTTGGGGACCTTAGTGGCCTCCCCTTGGCATAGAATAGTGGACGATATAAACCTATGCACCAGTCTAAGGCATGGGTGGGTGATTTTGAAGCTATGATCACCATGAGGGTCAACTTCACAACCAGTTATAGCCCTCCAAAATGTTCGGGACGAGTACGTGCTATAATCACCCCAACGGTTCACCAATGGGGTGCATCCCAACCAAATGCCATACGCAAATCATCATAAGACATCACATAATTCCTATTGTTCAAATTAAAGGATATTTGTTCACGTCCTTTAGTAAGCGTTGAAAGGAATTCATATGTATACCTGACATAGGTGGGAGCGCATTTGGTCATGAAATTCTCGAGACCCACGTTCCTTAGCAAGAGCCGCACTCCTTCCTCCATCTCTAGCTCTTGTAGAGCTTCTAAGTCAAAGAACTTGGTGCATTGCACCGTTCGTCGGGGTTGTTGAAGCTTAGTCCATACGCCCTTCTCCTTGGAATGCAACCGAACACCCATGAAACCATCCCCTTGAGGCAATGGAGGTGCCTCCCCTTGACTTGAAGAAGCCCCTTGCCTCTTGCCCCTTGAGGGTCTTGATGGAGATGATTCTTTAGACCTCTTGTTGTCTCTACCCATGGCTATAAAAAGGAATATGTTCACTTGCACCTTCACCTTCACCTTAGGTGAAATTGTGATGGGAATTGAGAATTTGATGAAAGATGAAGATTTGGGAAAGGGAAATTGGTAGGAATTTGGTATAATTGGAGTAGGGGAATGAATGAGTAGAGAGAAGGAGAAGAAAAGGAGTAAGGGTTTATGTGAATTGGGGGATAATGAAGTTGGAGTTTGGAAAAGGGGAAATAAGGGGAAAAAAAAATCGGGGAGAGCTGTAGGAGCCGCTGGTAGCGGCTTGAGGCCCGCTGCCAGCGGCTCTGGCAGATTTTGGTGTTTTTTTTTTTTTTTTTTTTTTTTTTTTTTTTTTATTTTTGTTTTTTTTTTTTTTTTTTTATTTTTTTTTTTTTTTTGTTTTTTTTTTTTTTTTTTTTTTTTTACGTAGAGGGGGGCCCGCTGGCAGCGGCTCAGGAGCAGCTACCAGCGGCTGGGACAGAAACAAAGGGGTTGGGCTGCAAGAAGACCCGCTGGTAGCGGCTGCAGAGCAGCTGCCAGCGGCTTCTGCAGGGAAGGCCCCTTTGTTTATGTTTTGCTCTGTTTTTGCTGCGTTTCGCGCATAAAAATTGCTCCCAAGGCCTCCACCTACACAAAAACAATAAAAACACTCTTCACATCACACGAAAAAAATAAAACTAAACTACGAAAAGTAATGGGGAAGAGTTTTCGATCGGGTTGCCTCCCGATTAGCGCCTTTGTTTTACGTCGTTGGCTCGACGCGGCTCATCCCACTTCGCTACTCCATTGATGGCTCGTAGAGATCGATGCTCTCCACGTTCTCGGTTTTGAAACCCTCGAAGTAGGGTTTGAGCCTTTGTCCATTGACTTTGAAAACCTTATCGGTCTCGGGGCTTTGAATTTCAACTGCTCCATGCGGATATACATTCACCACTTGAAAAGGGCCCTCCCAACGGGACCGAAGTTTTCCCGGAAATAATCTAAGTCGGGATTGATATAGGAGTACTTTGTCACCGACTTTAAACTCCTTCCGCGTGATCATTCGATCATGCCATAGCTTGGTCTTTGCTTTATAAATATCTGCATTCTCATAGGACTCAAGCCGGATCTCCTCTAGTTCTTGGAGTTGCAATTTCCGATGTTCACCTGCTTCATCCATTTGCATGTTGAATGACTTAACCGCCCAATATGCTTTATGCTCAAGCTCAACCGGTAGATGGCACGGTTTTCCGAAGACAAGGCGGTAAGGGGACATCCCGATAGGTGTTTTGTATGCGGTGCGGTACGCCCATAGAGCATCCTCCAACCTCAAACTCCAATCCTTCCTATCCGGATTCACCGTTTTCTGCAGAATTGACTTCACCTCTCTATTGGACACCTCGGCTTGCCCATTGGTTTGTGGGTGATAAGCCGTGGAGATTTTGTGGTGAACAGAGTACTTCCTCAACAAAGCACTCACTGTACGGTTGCAAAAGTGTGTTCCACGGTCACTTATCAACGCCCTTGGGATTCCAAACCTAGAAAATATGTAAGCTTTGATAAAACCTGAAACCACTTTAGAGTCATCAGTCCTAGTGGGTATTGCTTCCACCCACTTCGACACATAATCACAAGCAAGAAGTATATAAGTAAAACCGTAAGAAATAGGGAATGGTCCCATGAAATCTATACCCCAAACATCGAATATTTCACAATATAGAAGAGAGGATTGGGGCATTTCACTTTTCTGGGAAATGTTACCTACTCTCTGGCAATTATCACAGGATTTACAAAATCCATAGGAATCTCGAAACAAACTTGGCCAGTAAAAACCACAGTCGAGAACCTTCCTTGCTGTGCGTTTGGCTCCAAAGTGTCCTCCACAAGCATGAGAATGACAGAAGGTGAGAATGGGGATCACCTCATTTTCGGGAATGCATCTGCGAATGATTTGATCGGAGCAGAACTTCCATAAGTATGGATCATCCCATGCATAGTACTTCGCATCAGTTCGAAGCTTGTCCTTTTGAGACTTTGTGAAACCTGGAGGAAACTGTTGAGAAACCAGAAAATTCACAATGTTAGCAAACCAAGGGCGCAAAACCTTAAGAGCAAATAGAGATTCATCCGGAAATTCTCCTAGGATTTGATATTGGAATGATGGTTGATCAACAATATGGGTCAAACGACTCAAATGATCAGCAACTAGATTTTCCGCGCCTATCTTGTCCTTGATTTCTAACTCAAACTCACATAAGAGCAGAATCCATCTTATTAGTCTTGGTTTGGCCTCTTTCTTCGTCATCAAGTGGCGAAGAGCTGCATGATCAGTGAAAACAATTACTTTAGTACCAAGCAAATAAGATCGAAACTTTTCTAGAGCAAATACTACAGCTAACAACTCTTTTTCTGTGGTAGTGTAGTTTCGTTGGGCTGAATTGAGGGTCATTGAGGCATAATAGATCACATGAGATGCCCTCCCTACTTTCTGGCCTAAAACAGCTCCAACTGCATAATCACTCGCATCACACATTATCTCAAATGGTCGAGACCAATCTGGGGCTTGAATGATAGGGGCAGAAATGAGCTTAGCCTTCAATTCGTCGAAAGCCTTCTTGCAATCATCATCAAAGTGGAATTTCACATCTTTCTGCAGCAATTTGCACATAGCATTTGCAAGCTTTGAGAATCCCTCAATGAACCTACGATAGAAACCTGCATGGCCAAGAAAAGAACGCACTTCACGCACATTAGTAGGATAAGGGAGAGACTGAATAGTGTCAATCTTAGCCTTATCAACCTCAATACCTCTAGAAGAAACTACATGACCTAACACAATGCCCTGTTGGACCATAAAATGACATTTCTCAGAATTCAAGACAAGGTTAGAGTCAATACATCTTTTGAGGACCATAGATAAGTGATGCAAGCATTTATCAAAAGAATCACCATACACAGTGAAATCATCCATAAATACCTCCATGAAATGCTCAACAAACTCAGAAAAGATGCTCATCATGCATCTCTGAAAGGTTGCAGGTGCATTACATAGGCCAAAAGGCATACGGCGATAAGCAAATGTGCCAAAAGGACATGTAAAAGTTGTCTTTTCCTGATCTTCAGGTGCAATGGGCACTTGAAAGTACCCAGAATACCCATCAAGGAAACAGTAATAAGATTTCCCTGCAAGTCTTTCAATCATTTGGTCAATAAAAGGTAAAGGGAAATGGTCTTTCCTAGTTACTGCATTCAACCTACGATAATCAATGCAAACTCGCCAACCATTTTGAACTCTAGTAGGAACCATTTCACCCTGTTGATTTTCTACCACAGTCACACCACTTTTCTTAGGAACCACCTGCGTAGGACTGACCCATTTACTATCAGATATAGGAAATATCATTCCTACTTGCAATAATTTTATGATCTCCTTCTTTACCACGTCCATCATGGGGGGATTTAGGCGACGCTGAGGTTGCCTCACAGGTTTGGCATCATCTTCTAACAGAATACGATGCATGCAAGTGGATGGACTTATTCCCTTAATGTCTGCAATGGTCCATCCAATAGCTAACTTGTGCTCTTTCAGCACTGTCACCAACTTGTCCTCTTGCTCCTTGGTCAATTTGCTTGAAATTATAACAGGTAAAGTATCGTTCTGACCAAGGAACACATATTTCAAATGATCAGGCAGTGGTTTTAGCTCCACCTGGGGTGCCTGCAAAACAGAAGGTAAGAGTTTATCAGTAGGCACTGTCAATGGGGTAGGTGTCGAACCTGGTGGTCTAAGTGGAAGCTTGGAATGACCATTCAACTCTGCTACCATCATCTGCACACTATTAGGCAAAGGAATATCCAAACAATCAGCAGATAAATCATTAGAAATGGAAGTGAGGAGCGCATCCTCGCCCTCAACATTGAAGACATCCTGCACTATAGGATCAATGATATCAATGGAACACAAAGAATGAGTGTCAACAGGGTATTTCATGGAATCATAGATGTTATACACAATTTCTTGTCCATCAAACTCCATAGTCAAAGAACCAGTAAAAACATCAATTTTAGTCCTAGCAGTTTTCAAGAAAGGTCTTCCTAACAAGATGGGTACTGCTTGTCTATCATGTTCCATATCAAGCACATAAAAATCAGCAGGAAAAATTAGTTCATCAACTTTCACAAGCACATCTTCCACTACTCCCTTAGGATAAACATTTGATCTATCAGCTAATTGAATCACTACCCCGGTGTCATGTAAGGGTCCAAGTTCCAAAGATTTGAACAGTGAATATGGAATAACATTAATTGATGCACCCAAATCCAACATTGCTCTATGAAAAGTGGTGTCCCCTATTGTAACTGGAACAGTAAACATACCAGGGTCACTGCATTTTTCAGGAAGTTTCTTTTGGAAAACTGCAGAAACATGAGCACTGACTTTCACTTTTTCCTTCCCTCCTAACCTGTGCTTCCTCTTAATAGTACAAAGTTCTTTCAAAAATTTAGCGAATCGAGGAACACTCTTTATTAAATTCAAAAGGGGAATGTTTACCTCACACTTGCTGAATGTTTCATAGATATCTTTGTCCTTCTCATACCTCTTCGTTTCTTTCAAAGCTTCAGGAAAAGGTGGTGTGGGTTCATAAGATGGAAAAGTGGGAGGATTTGCTACAGCTTCATGTTCCACTTCCTTCTCCTCAGCTCCAATCAACTCTTCAGCCCTCTTAGTTGCAATTTCAGTCTCTTTCAGCTCCTTGCCATTTCTCAATGTAATAGCGTTGGCTTGTTGCTTAGGATTCAACTCCGTTTGAGATGGAAGTTTTCCCGAATCCTTAGCTTCAAGTCTGCTCACTGCACTTGAAATTTGACTCACTTGACTTTCCAAATTCTGAATACTGGATTTGGTCTCTTGCTGGAATTGCACCATGTTTTGCTGCATAGTAGAAACATTAGAAGTTAGTGATCTAATCATTTCATCAGTTGACATATTACTCGAATTTGAGCTTTGGCCCTGAGGTTTGGCTAATGGTGCCCTATATTGCTGATATTGCTGCTGGCCTTGAGCATTTTGCTGTTGTTGTTGGTTCCCCTGGGAATTCCCATATCTCAAATTTGGATGATCCCTCCATCCTGGATTGTATGTATTCGAATATGGATCATATCTTCTCTGAGGACCTTGCCCTTGGAAACCCATTGCATTGGCCTGCTCATTCTGTTCCTCTTGTAATTGAGGACATGCATCAGTGGGATGTCCTGTGGAGGTGCATAAACCACAAGCATTCAGTTGCTGTGGATTCCTTGAGTTCACCATGAACTCACGCATCATAGAAGTCAAATCAGCTACTTGACTCTCTAACTCAGTTGTATTTGAATTTGCTGCATTCACCCGGCGCGTGGGAGTTCTCTGACTGAACTGCCTAGAATTCTCTGCTAGCTCTGCAATCAGCCTAGTTGCATCTCCTGGAGTCTTATTCACTAGCCCTCCACCAGTTGCTGCATTCACCATCCTCAAATCATCATCTGTTAGACCTCCATAGAAGTATAGGATGAGGTCTTGATCGGAATACCCATGGTACGGACAACTAGCACACAATCTCTTGAATCTCTCCCAATACTCATACAAGGACTCATCTTCCTTCTGATCCACATTGCTGATAGCTTTCTTAAGGCTTGCAGAAATAGTGGCTGGGTAATACTTCTCTAAGAAACACTTCTTCAAACCTGCCCAATTTGTTATGCTCCCTGGGGGAAGATAGTAAAACCAATCCTTCGCTACATCTTTGAGAGAAAAAGGAAATGCTCTCAACTGAATTTGCTCATCAGTCATCCCAATCGGTTTCATGCTAGTACATACCACATGAAATTCTGCCAGATGTTTATTTGGATCTTCACCCTTCATGCCATGGAATGCCGGCAATAGATGAATTAGACCAGATTTGATCTCAACATTAGCACCTTCCTCCAACTGCTGATATGCGATGCACAACGGCTGTTGGTTCAAGTTAGGAGCTGTTAGCTCTCTCAGTGTTCGATTTTCTGCCATCACTTCCTCTTCTTTAATGTTGAAGATGTATGTTGATTCACTGGGGTTTGTTCTTGCCTCTCTTCGCGACCTGGAAATATTTCTTTCAATTTCTGGATCAAACTGCAAAACTTCTTTGTTAGCAGAACGGGTACTTATCATACCCTAGCGAACAAACAAAGAAAAAATATCTAAGAACAATCCTAAAATAAATTCTACTAAGATAAACAATTAAACGGTAACGCCTAAGTCCCCGGCAACGGCGCCAAAATTTGGTGTGCCTCAGTCGTATGCAACCAAAAATATCACAACTAAGCTAACTGCAAATAAACGTAGTTAGGGAAGTCGAGTTCGAATCCACAGGGAAAAAGGGACTAATAACTGGAAACCTAAGTGGAAATACTCTAGGACGGTAGTAACCTAAGTAACGAGGGGGGTTTTCACGAGCAATGATGATAAATGAACTAAGTAAGAACAACGAACGTAATGAATAGGTAATCAATGAGAAGAACGGTCTTGGTTATGCGAAATCCACTAATGAACATACAAATTGATCATAGAAGTCTCCTCAATCAAGCTCTATTGAACACCTTGTTGTAGAATTCCTAGATTCTAAATTCTCATAAATAGTTAGAAATAGCAAAGCGCTCCTTTCTAACCCTTTCCAATGCACAATTCAAGACAAGCGCTCTAAATTATCCACAAGAAGAAAATAAACGGAGAAATCAACAAGGATTGAATAAATTAACACAAGCGGTCTAATTTCTTCAATAATATTATTCCCTCTTCAAGTTATCAACCAAAAGCATGCATCAATAACCTAAAGTTGCTACTTTGGAAAGATTAATTAGATGCAAGCGAATCCAATAATTCTAACCTAGCAATTGATTAAAGCAAATCATGAAATTAATTCAAGGAACAATATATATTCAATAGATATTAAGAGAAGAAAGATCTCACAATTCGTAGCTAAAAGCTTCAATCTTTAACCAAGAATCCGGAAGATTAAGCTTCCATGGATTCTAATTCCAAAACAAAGAATTCTGAAAATTCCAAGAAAACCCTAGAAAGCTTTTTTTTCTCAAAACTTCATTCTCCTCTCCTCCCCTCTAAACTTAATTAAAACTAAGCTATTTATATGTTTCTATATTTTAATAACATAACACAATAATAATAATAAAATAATATCCAAACACGTGCCAAAACAAAGCCAAAATTGCTGAAAAAGAAGCCAAAAATTGCGCAAAAACTGAGATTGCCGCTGCCAGCTGCTCTGGACCCGCTGGCAGCGGCTCTGGCAGCCTTGGAAGCCTTCGTATGCTGGAATAGCAGCTGCCAGCGGCTCTGGCCAGCTGCCAGCTGCCCTGGCAGCAATTCACTACTGTTTTTTCCTTCTTCCTTGCTTTGAACCTTCTTCTAGCTTCTTCAAACTTGCTTTCTTGCCTCCTTGTGAATCAACAAGCCATGCTTCATACACTCTCAAATCATCATCCAAGGTCCGCCTACTCATAGTACTCTTCACTTCATTCCCGAGCTCAACTCACTCACTTTCACTCATAATTTCCCTCTTTTGCACATAAATGGGACGATGAGTCAAAACTCACAAAAGCTAACAAAAGTACATATAAAGCATCAAAACACACCCTAAAATGCTTCTCTCAACCCATGATAAGAAGGCTTATCAAAAGCTAATTGAATCAAATGAAAATCAAACACATCAAAACAAACCTAATTGAATCAAATGAAAGTCAAACACATTCAAACAAACCTAATTGAATCAAATGAAAGTCAAACACATTAAAACAAAGTTTCTGAGTCAAATTAAAGTCAAATGCATTAACAAAGCTAATTGAATCAAACGAAAGTCAAATCCATTCTACAAAGCTAATAGAATCAAATGAAAGTTAAACACATTCTAACAAAGCTAATTGAATCCAATGAAAGTCAAACACATTCAAATAAAGCTTTTTAAATCAAATTAAATTCTAATGCATTCAACAAAGCTAAATGAATCAAGTGAAATTCAAATGCATTCTACAAAGCTAATTGAATCAACTGAATGTTAAACACATTCAAACATAGCTAATTTAATCCAATGAAAGCCAAACACAATCAAATAAATCTTTTTGAATCAAGTTAAAGTCTAATGCATTCAACAAAGCTAATTGAATCAAATGAAAGTCAAACCCATTAAAACAAAGCTTTTGGAATAATATGAATGTCAAATGCATTCTACAAAGCTAATTGAATCCAATGAAAGTCTAATGCATTCAATAAAGCTAATTGAACCAAATGAAAGTCAAGCACATTCAAACAAAGCTAATTGAATCAAATGTAAGTCAAACACATTCAAACAAAGCTTTTTGGATCAAATTTAAGTTAAACACATTCAAATAAAGCTAATTAAATCAAATGAAAGTCAAACACATTCAAACAAGCTTTAAGACAAAAATGCAAGCAAAATGCATTCAATTATGCTAATTGAATCAAATGAATGTCAAACACATGCAAACAAAGCTTTTTAAATCAAATGAAAGTCAAATGCATTCAAACGAAGCTAATTGAATCAAATGAAAGTCAAACACAATCAAACAAAGCTAATTGAATAAAATGAAAGCCAAATGCATTCAACAATGCTAATTGAATCAAATTAAAGTAAAACACATTCAAACAAAGCTAATTGAATCAAATGAAAGTCAAACACATTCAAACAAGCTTTATGACTCAAATGCAAGCCAAATGCATTCAATTATGCTAATTGAATCAAATGAAAGTCAAACACATTCAAACAAAGCTAATTAAATTAAATGGAAGTCAAACACATTCAAACAAAGCTAATTAAATCAAATGAAAGTCAAACACATTGAAACAAAGCTTTTTTAATAAAATGAAAGTCAAATGCATTCAACAAAGCTAAATGAATAAAGTGAAATTCAAATGCATTCTACAAAGCTAATTGAATCAAATCAACGTTAAACACATTCAAACATAGCTAATTTAATCCAATGAAAGCCAAACACAATCAAAGAAATCGTTTTGAATCAAGCTAAAGTCTAATGCATTCAACAAAGCTAATTGAATCAAATGAAAGTCAAACTCATTTAAACAAAGATTTGGAATAATATGAATGTCAAATGCATTCTACAAAGCTAATTGAATCCAATGAAAGTCTAATGCATTCAATAAAGCTAATTGAACCAAATAAGTCAAACACATTCAAACAAAGCTAATTGAATCAAATGAAAGTCAAACACATTTAAACAAAGCTTTTTGGATCAAATTTAAGTTAAACACATTCAAACAAAGCTAATTAAATCAAATGAAAGTCAAACACATTCAAACAATCTTTATGACTAAAATGCAAGCCAAATGCATTCAATTATGCTAATTGAATCAAATGAAAGTCAAACACATTCAAACAAAGCTTTTTAAATAAAATGAAAGTCAAATGCATTCAAACAAAGCTAATAGAATCAAATGAAAGTAAAACACATTCAAACAAAGCTAACTGAATCAAATGAAAGTCAAACACATTCAAACAAGCTTTATGACTCAAATGCAAGCCAAATGCATTCAATTATGCTAATTGAATCAAATGAAAGTCAAACACATTCAAACAAAGCTAATTAAATTAAATGGAAGTCAAACTCATTCAAACAAAGCTTTTTGAGTTATATTGAAGTCTAATACATTTAACCAAGCTAATTGAATCAAATGAGGGTCAAATGCATTCTACAAAGCTAATTGAATCAAATGAAAATCAAACACATCAAAACAAACCTAATTGAATCAAATGAAAGTCAAACACATTCAAACAAACCTAATTGAATCAAATGAAAGTCAAACACATTAAAACAAAGTTTCTGAGTCAAATTAAAGTCAAATGCATTCAACAAAGCTAATTGAATCAAACGAAAGTCAAATCCATTCTACAAAGCTAATAGAATCAAATGAAAGTTAAACACATTCTAACAAAGCTAATTGAATCCAATGAAAGTCAAACACATTCAAATAAAGCTTTTTAAATCAAATTAAATTCTAATGCATTCAATAAAGCTAAATGAATCAAGTGAAATTCAAATGCATTCTACAAAGCTAATTGAATCAACTGAACGTTAAACACATTCAAACATAGCTAATTTAATCCAATGAAAGCCAAACACAATCAAACAAATCTTTTTGAATCAAGTTAAAGTCTAATGCATTCAACAAATCCAATTGAATCAAATGAAAGTCAAACACATTCAAACAAAGCTTTTTGGATCAAATTTAAGTTAAACACATTCAAACAAAGCTAATTAAATCAAATGAAAGTCAAACACATTCAAACAAGCTTTATGACTAAAATGCAAGCCAAATGCATTCTATTATGGTAATTGAATCAAATTAAAGTCAAACACATTCGAACAAAGCTTTTTAAATCAAATGAAAGTCAAATGCATTCAAACAAAGCTAATTGAATCAAATGAAAGTCAAACACAATCAAACAAAGCTAATTGAATAAAATAAAAGACAAATGCATTCAACAATGCTAATTGAATCAAATGAAAGTAAAACACATTCAAACAAAGCTAATTGAATCAAATTAAAGTCAAACACATTCAAACAAGCTTTATGACTCAAATGCAAGCCAAATGCATTCAATTATGCTAATTGAATCAAATGAAAGTCAAACACATTCAAACAAAGCTAATTAAATTAAATGGAAGTCAAACACATTCAAACAAAGCTTTTTGAATCAAATTAAAGTCAAATGCATTCAACAAAGCTAATTGAATAAAATGAAAGTCAAATGCATTCTACAAAGCTAATTGAATCAAATGAAAGTCAAACACACATTCAAACAAAGCTAATTGAATCAAATAAAAGTCAAACACATTCAAACAAAGCTTTTTGGATCAAATTTAAGTTAAACACATTCAAACAAAGCTAATTAAATCAAATGAAAGTAAAACACATTCAAACAAGCTTTATGACTAAAATGCAAGCCAAATGCATTCAATTATGCTAATTGAATGAAA